TTGGATATGATTTTAGATTCGAGATAACGCGTCAGCGTTACTGTGTTTTCGTCCTTTTCTATGTTGAATGGTGAAATCGTAAGGTTGTAGGCGGAGCATCCATCTTGCACGTCGACCGGTAAGTTTCGAGGTTTTCAACCATTTGAGTGCGCTATGGTCGGTAATTACTACAAAAGGGTTTAAGCCGTAATAGTGGTGGAAATGTTCCACTGCCCATAAAATGGCTAGGCATTCTAATTCGGTTGCGGCGTAATTTTTTTCGTGTAAAGTTAACCCTCTGCTGGCGTACGACACAACAAATTCTTTATCATCGTCGTCTTTCTGCGAAAGCACTGCACCAAGTCCGGATCCCGAAGCGTCGGTGTGAATAAAGAAAGTCTTTAGGAAATCAGGATACCGTAAGATGGGAGCCGTAATAAGGTGACGTTTAAGGGATTCAAATGCGTAATTTTGGTCGTTATTCCACTTATACTCAACGTTCTTTTTCAGCAAATGATGTAACGGACGGGCGATGGTGGCGAAGTCTTTAATGAATCGTCGATAGTACGACGCCAGACCAATGAATCCTCGAAGTTGTCGTAAAGTTTTCGGGATCGGAAAATTCTTCACTTTTTCAATCTTCGATTCGTCGGGCTTAATTCCATCTCTACCCACAACGTGACCTAGGAAACAGATATTGCTTCGGAAAAAGGTACATTTTTCAAAATTTAGTTTTAACCCGGACTCCTTTAGTTTCTTAAAAATGACACTAATATGATCTAGGTGTTCATCAAAATTTTCGGAATAAATATTTATGTCGTCTAGGTACACTACGACAAACTTTCCAATCTCATCAGCCAAAATCTTATCCATTAAGCGTTGGAAACTTGCCGGGGCGTTACACAGCCCGAAAGGCATAACATTGAACTCGTAGGTCCCGCAAGAGGTAACGAACGCCGTTTTTTCTTTATCTTTTTCATTTACTGGTAGTTGCCAGTAACCACTTAGTAAATCCAACGAACTAAACCATCTTGCTTTTGAAAACGTTTCCAAAAGGTCGTCCACGCGGGGGAGAGGGTAAGAGTCTTTTTTCGTGACCGCGTTCAACTTACGATAATCGATACATAAACGTAATTTTCCGCCCTTTTTAGGCACTACCACGACGGGGGAAGACCAGGGACTCTGTGATTCACGGATTAACCCTCTTTTTTTAAGTTGAGTTATTTCGTTTTTAATAAATTCTTTAATACCGGGAGCGGCTCTATACGCATTTTGCTTTATCGGGGCAGCGTCACCGGTGTCGATCACGTGGTTAGTTCTTTCCGTACGACCTAGTTCTTCAACGCTTTGTGCGAAGATTTCTTTTTCTTTCTTTATCAAGTCTTTTGCCTCCTTTTGTTGTTTGTCGTTTAATTCTTCGCTAACTTCCATCTTTTCGATTTTTTCTTCGATCGATTCTTCTTCATCTTCCAACGACGCAGTAGGCAACTCTTCCACGTGAGACAAATATGCAGCAGGGCTTTGAACGTCTTGCCAAGGATTAAGGTATAATTCCGAATCTTCCTTTTCGCTTTGCACTTCTTCCGAAAAATATCCGTCTGTTTCCTCAACTTCTTCGTTTTCATAGATAAGTTGGTCGAACAAATCGTCGTCGCTATTTGAGAGTTCTTCGGGGTCTTTCTTTTTTTCATTTAACAATTTCCTCGGTCCGCTATTAGTGATGGGTACTTCGACAACTCTTCCTAAGTATCTTAAGATCAACTTTTGTTCGTCAAAGTGGATACGAGCCCTCACTTTTTCGAACCAATCATTGCCCAACAGCAGGGTCTCGTCCACCGATTCAATTACTTGCAGCGGGCTTGGAATGGCTAAGTCTTGAACCATAATTTTTGTGTTTTTAATTCTTCCCAGAGTTCTATTTCTTACTCCAGTGGCGGTTACTATAACTGTAGTGGAACTTTCTTCTATTTTAAGACCAAGTCTATCCATTAGTTTTTTCGTTATAAAGCTTGCTGCGGCACCCGAGTCTAAAATCGCAACGACCGGGTTATTTCGGATTCTTACATTACACCTTGCAGCAGTGGTTCTTTTTTCTCCTTCATCTACGTAATTTGTTTCCTCCGTTATTAATGGTCTTCGAAGGGCTTTTGCCAAGTTCCTTCTTTGATTTGGGTACTGGAGCATTTGCCCAACTGTTGCACTAACACGGGTATTAAGAATATCATCAGCAACGTTGTAAGCGACGATCGAATCTACTATCGAAGGACCTCTTTTTCTTCTCGGGGCTCGTGCCGGAGCAAGTATGTCATTATCTTGCATTAAATCATCATCATCTATT